TCTGCATGTTGTGTATTGAAACCTACTGGAAAGATGCGCAAGTCTGTCGGTGTCCTGTCTGTAATCACGCTTTTGAAAGAAGACCGGATCTCAAGGTCAACACTTTCATTTCAGAGCTCGCGTCAAACGTCTTGTCACTTAAAGCTAAAGATTTTGACACCTGGAGTGCTCATTCACTGCAGGCCAGCCCTGGAGCTGGGGTGCTATGTGGCATCTGTACCGACACGCCGCAAGAAGCAATTAAATCATGTGTGGAGTGTCAGACTTCATACTGCGACGTTCATCTGGCGCCTCATCACCTTGCCCCTGGACTGAAGAAGCACACGCTGATTGAACCTGTGGCGAGCCTGGAGGGGCGGATCTGTGAGGAACATAACAAGCTGCTGATGTGGTTCTGCAGAGACGACAGCGCTCTGCTGTGTGACGTCTGCTCCAGCTCCCGCCACAAGGAGCACTCTGTTGTTCCTGTGGAGCGGGCGTACGACGAGAAGAAGAACCTGCTGGAGCACACTGAGGGTAAAGTGCAGCGGATGATCCAGGAAAGGCTCCAGAACGTTGTGAAAGTGAAGGAATCAGTAAAGCTAAGCAAGACAGAAACTGAAAAGGTGACTGCCAGCGGCGTGCAGGACCTAACAGACCTGGTGTCTGAGATTCAGGAGAGTCAGACAGAGCTCATCGCGGTCATCGAGGAGAAGCAAAAAACTGTAGAACAAGAAGCAGGAGGGGTAATTAGTGATATGGAGAAGGAGATCACAGAGCTGCAGGTGACAAGTGTGAAGCTGATTGAGCTAAAGCAGACTAAAGATCAGCTCCATTTTCTCCGGCACTACCCAAGCTCCTCTGTCCTGCCTCAAACAATGGATCCTTCCCATCTCAGCTTTAACCGACACCTGGAGATACAACACATAGGCGAATCTTTGAAAAACTCCGTCTCCCAGCTGCGAACAACGCTCAACAAAATGAACACAGACATACAAAAACTGTGCGACAGATCAGACGTGTCAAATAAAGCCACGCTCAGATATATGCAGCAGTACGAGGTGAACGTCTTGCTGGATCCGGACACGGCTCATCCTCTGCTCATGATATCGGACGACTTGAAACAAGTAAGATACAGCATGCGCTCAGGATGGTTGGCAAACCAAATCTCGAACCCAAGCATGTTCACTGAGCATCTTGCAGTTCTGGGAAACAGAAGCTTCTCATCCCGCAAGTTTTACTTCGAGGTTTACGTGGGTCAGAAGACCGAGTGGTGTCTGGGCATGGCTGCTGCGTCGGTCCAGAGGAGAGGGTCACTCAGTCGGGATTTGCGTAGTGGGCTGTGGGCCATGTGGTTCCTGGAAAATAAGTTTGAAACCTTCAACTCTCCGGATGAGCCGGTACACTTTGGGAAAGTGGAGCGGATCGGGGTTTTTGTGGATTACGACCGAGGTCAAATATCATTTTGGGACACGGAGGCTGCAACACTTATTTACTCTTTCACTGAGTGTTTCTTTACCGAGGAGCTCTATCCGTACTTTAATCCCTGTGACAATGAATTTGGCTCCAATTTAGATCCCATGATAATAGTTCCTGTTGGTGAAAGCGAGTCAGCGGGGCTTCAGAGACTCACCCTTTGAATCAAATATTTTATTCTGTTTGAGTCTTTGTGGGGTAAAAGCCAAGTGCCTAACATTTAAAGACATATATCCAATATGAAGGACGTTTTGGATATTTAATGTCTTTATCAGATATTTATCAGTGAGATAATGTGAATACGTGAGGTTTTCTTGCTAAATTTGCTAATCGCCTATCCAAGTACAGATTTTTTTCAGTTTTGTTTGGTTTCTTTTTGCTATTAATTAGCTAGAGAAAAATAGATCAACAATTCTAACGTGTTTCAGCTCCTCGTCAAACTGACACAACATTTGGGCGTTTTTCTCTCGTTTGAAAATGTTCAGGTACAAGGATGGGACTGAAAATGATGGAAAAATCTTCCAGAAAGCCTGAAGAACTATTGCTGCAGACCACTTTAAAATTACAAGAAAGACTGGCTCCTTGGAAAGAAAATATAAAGAAATGACAGTAGAATAAATCCAGTTTTGACAAATAAAAAGGAAAAGCAAACTGATAAAAACAGTGAATGTGAATCTCAATATGAAAGTCTCTCAATGTTTGTTTTAAGGAGGAAAATAATATTCAAACCTTCAGAAAGTTTAGATGTGCATTTAATGACTAATGAGTTATTTATTATCACAGTTTTTCGTATAATAATTAAATTATTTAGTCTATCACGTTTTGACATATTGCCAGGCAGCTTCATAATTGTCTTATGAATGTAGGACGGTGGCTTCATCTTATAAACAGGCAGACTAATTCATTACACTACAAAAAAAAGACTAAACTATAGAGGGGTTTTTTCTGCTACATATGGTGACGTCAGTTTAAGGGTGAAAGGTTCGAGGCTTGTAACGAGTTCGGCACTTCGTGCACAGAAGATCGAACAGCATGTTAACGGGGGAGAAGAATGGGTGGAAATAATAAAATTGAGGATTTAACTGAAAAGAAAGTGGTGCTGTAAATGGGAGCAACCCCTGTGATTTCAAGACAAAATATGAATTCACCAGGTGTTCTTACTTATATAGCCGACATGGAGGTACGAGTGGAGTCTGTAAAGTGGTGAAAGGACTAAAAGGATGTGCGTCTGTAAGTCACGAATAGATGCACATTTTGCACGTGTTTACGGATTTGTAGAAAGAAATGTTGCTGCGGAGTAGCGTATTCTTTTGTATGTGTTTTTGGGCACTGTGAGCACTGCTAAAGTAGATTCCAGTATATTAAACAGATACAACAGATATATCCACATAGCAAGTCAGAGAAAAACACTGTCCCTTTAATTTTGATATATTTAATATTACATATATACCTGATTGAACATCGATCTGATTTAATTTTCAAGTGTCAAACTGGAGTCATAATTCCCTGACTCATTGCAATGGTTTTTGTATTTTTTTGCAATATCCAAATAAATAATATTTGTGAGGAATGAAAGTCAAAATAAATGACATTTTTTGCCTACAATTTGCGGATTTTGTAGCTCCTTTTTTCACCTCTCTCATATCCAGCACAGTTTAGAAGTTAATGTAATGTGTACAGAAAGAAAGTGATAGGTTTTTGTGTTACTGGTTAGTTGGCAGTACTCCGCAAACAAATGAGGCTTAAAATACACTGAGAAGTCAAGGAGGAGCCAAACAGTCATGTCCAAGGCAAATTGATGTTGTTGCACTAAAATCTGGCCAGTACCTACGGAAGAGGATTAGGGCCACAGGAAGAAGAAGAAAAAAAAGGGGGGCACGTATTTTTTTTTCTTCTTTTCCAGAATTCTGATTAAAAAAAAGTCAAAATTCTGAGATTAAAGTCAGACTTGTGACTTTTTTCTCAGAATTCTGGAAAAGCAAGGGGGGAAAAGACGTGCCCACTTTTGTTTTTCAGTGGCCCTAATCCTCTTCCATAAATACCCGAAGTTGAAAAATGGTAAAATTTCCAATAAAGTGACAAACATGACTTTGGCCTTGAGCAGAATTTGGGTGAAAATCCACTATATGATCACTGTGCTCAAGTACTACACCTGCAATTCTTGTCCATCTGACACATATTCGTGGCATAAAACATCAGACGTTTGGCCAGATGAGCTAAAAATGATTGAAAATCAAAATAAGTTGAGCATTTTAGAATATCGGCAAGAGAAAAGAAATAATAGATGAGATAAACACAATTGGAGATAGGAATTACACCTCAAGGTCATTGTAGTTACTAGTTGGGTCGCTGGAGAGTTAACGCTGACATTTTGTGTCGATGCTGATGAAAAATAAATGCACAACTTTATCTTTGAGCCATTTTTCCTTCTTTTTAAGCACTTAGGCACAAATACAAACAAACAATCATCAAATATTTAAAAAAAAACACAGGATACACTGCCATGTTCCCTTACTGCTTTGTAATTCGTAATCTTACCATATAAATCATGTAATATTTTCACATATATATTTTGCATTTGTTGTGCTGAATGGCAAAAACATGCTTAAAAGCTGCACAGTAGCATTAATCGAACTTTTATCTTCAGCTTCATAAAATTTTAATAAAGTAAAAAAGCGTTACGTAACTAAACAAAAGCAACATTTTCAGTATCGCTCAAAACTAACATTTATTATGATTTTTCATGTCTCAAAATGATCCCTAAATTCTCCCCTTGTTTATATTTCACCACTTTAATATTTCACTACGCTCTTTAATGCATTTCACACAATACTCGACACCCTCCTCATTGCCACGACAACCGCACTCTGCCCATCGCCATGGGAACACTCAGTCTCCCTTCTCCCGTAATCCGTTTCCCAGCCACAATGAGTATTTGACACGGTTCACAGTCGGAGGCTGGCTGTATGGGGGGTGGGTGTGTAGCAACAACATCCTCTACACAAAACACACTAATAAATCTGGAAACCTGAGGAAATTTGCTTTTACACCATTTATCCTCATTTCCACCCAATAAAAAGAGGCAATTTTAGCAGCATGTGAATTTATGCAGGTGTTCAGTATTGTTAAAAAGCCACAATTTGGATTCCCCGTGATGGATGGTGTGTTTCTGACTGCATGGGTCTGTCAGTGTGTAGCGAGTGTTAAAGCGGAGATGTTTCACCGCACTGGAAATGAGCCGAGAGGGAGGAGTTCTTTGCCCCAACCCCCCCTCCTATCTTCATCATGCCCTTCACTCCTCTCAGGGATGCGGAGAAAGAAAGAAGAGGAAAATGAAAGGCAGAGGGGCGCAGGCCAGGATGAGGGGGAGAGGAGAGGTAGGAAAGAGTGGGAGGGGCTTTGTGAGAGTCTGAGTCAGAATGTGGGTTAAACTGGAGGGAACGGAGAAAACAGCAGAAAGGAGAGCGATGGTGTAGGAGGGTAGGACAGATGGGAGGAGAAAGTAAATGCACAGAAAGAGGATGAGAGCGTCGCCTCTCGCCTACCTGAGTTCTGCACCTCATTTAAGTAGCTGTCTTCAGCCACCACCTGCATGCACAAAAGAAAGAGAGTGAGACAAAGGACCAGAATTTCATCTTGGTATAATAGTAAACAAAGAACAAGAAAAAAACATGAAATTCATTTAAAAGCAAACATAAAAAGGCAAAGATCTTCTAAGCAGATTTGGTTGAAAACTGGTGGAAATTAGGCCACCAGCGCATGATTCATTTTCCACCACAAAGTCTGAACTTTAGTGAGTCGTGACGCATAAACAACATTCTAAAATATGCATGATGATTAGTTACAGGCCGTATCTGACTCCTCATAATTATGAATTGCAAAAAGCAAATGTGAAAGCACCAAAACAGCTGGACTGCAGCTTGATAATAGCGCCTTAACACCCCCAAAAAAGGAGAAAAATCCTTTCATTGAGTCTAATTAGAAACAAATTTAATGGACAGAGAGTCATAAGGTCTCGAGATTATCTCTACAATTACCTTCACTGAGCACGAAAGCAACTGTGGCCATTGTTATAAAATAAGACAGGTAATTTTCTATCTATAAGGTGTATATTTTAGATAATTTCGTTTCATTTCATGCCTCATACACCGATGCTCGTGTTAAACATGGCTCTGTAAGACGTCATAAGGAGTGGATATATCTGAAGCACAGGTGCCCTGCTCACCTGCTGTTCCAGCCTAATACTTGTGAGGGACAGCCACTCAGAATAAAAGTTAACTGAAGAGTAGAGAAACTGAAACTCTCTATTTCAGACAAAGGATGAACTGAGGGGGTGCACCAAGGCCCAGAATAAGATAAATAAGGATTATTTTGATCTGTGAATCATGCAAAGCTACTCTTGAGTCATAGAATAAAAAACATGGAGCTGGAGACGAGCAGAAGAGGTCCTCTTTAATGGTTTACCGCACACAGGGTAATCCCTTGAGTACTGCGTATATTTAGTTTTCGTGCAACTTTACATGCAGATTCAAGCATTTCCCCCTAAAGTATTCTGATTTGTTGGCATTTATCCTTGAACATGAAGTCGTCTCGATGTACTTTCGATGTATTAATGAGTTTACTCCCTGATTCTCACCACTTGAAGTATAAGTATAAGCAACCCAGGGACGAGAGTACAGCACAGTAACTGCAAACACACACAGTACTAGACAGCATCAGAGTTTATATTGCAGTGTTTATTTCATTTTAGATATCAGATACACATTTACACAACACACAGCCCATCTGCTCTGCTGAGAGGGCAGCGATATACAGCGCATTTCACCGTCACACAGGTGAGTTCTGCTCTCTGCTTCCTGTCACTGTTTCTGGCCACTGCACATGCACGCGTGAAACCAACACGCAAACGCCTCCCAGAAGACTCAGCTTAATGGTATTACATCAGGAACAGGCGACCTGTGATAGCAGACACGGGTGCCGATATCTCCGCTCATGTCAATCACACGGCTCAATTACGGCACTAATCTGCTCTTGCACCTGCGTCCAGTGTTTGGCCATGTAAACAGACGCACCACACCAGATGGAAGGGCAACAAATAAATAAGCAATAATCGAGACCGCTGCAGCACTGAGATAGGAAGTTGCTCCAAAGTGATGCTTTTAGTCATAAATGATCACACTCGTGCGTGCCACCTAGATGACTGTTGCTGGTAAGGTTTTGGGATATTAATGATGATTTTTGTCACTTTTATGATGTGAAACCTTAAAAGGGTCAAAACCTTTAAAGGGTAGAGTGATTTTACTTGGCATTTCCTATTATGTGTTATTACAAGGGAGCCTGGGGACCTGCAGAAGACTTCACGGTGGTGCTGAAAGCATAGTGACACAATGATTGTCAGGCACAGATAAGAAAAGTGAAAGTATTTATCAGGTCTGACAGAAAACCAGCTGCAGAGAGGGTTAGTTTATAACCAGCAGAGCAGGATTAGGAGGATTCTCCTCCACTAACTGACCTCACTGTTAAATTGAGGTTGAATCCTGATGTTTAACAAAGCTGAAGTAAAGTAAAGTAAATCAGTTGATTATAATACATGAGCATGCTTCCACCAAGGCCGAAAGGTCCCCTCACACCACACATTCATTGAGTCTTTGGATCCAGATTAGTTTATGACAATGTCTCACAGTTTTTCTTCTTTCATTATGACTATTGTGAAAAAGGGGCTTCAGATCCAGATTAAATTCAAAAGTTAACCACTTGTGGGTCAAGCCACACCTTTGGTAAAAAACTAAAACAAGTAAAACAGTCTGCAACTTTTTATTAATAACTCATAAATCTTGCACAGAACACTAAACACTGGACATAGTATGGCTGAACATTCCTTGACAATTAAGGTTTAAAGGGTTCAAGGCCATTGTGACTTTATACATTATGAATGTATCCATACTAATTCACAGCTTCGCTAACGCCATTATGCGTGTGTCTACAGGATTTGTGGTAGTGGTGATGTTTTACTCCAGTTAACAGACATGATCTTCTTGGCAATGAACACGGGAATGGGGTCTTGTCCTAAAGTGTTCTGAAGAGGTCCTCCAACTGAAAGCAACATCTATACTCAATACTCAACTGTTTTTGCTCCACTCTTTTATCCAACCAATATCCCTGGAGGACTGCAGTCCCTGAAGACATGCGAATGATCATTCATGAATCTGCAGTTCCTCCAATACAAAAGTGATGCAAACACAGGACCTAAAAAAAACCTCATTCCAATCTTACAATCAAATTCCTTAGATTCCATAGATGACTACAAACAGCTTTGTTCATGCACATGTCCTCACTGGCCAATTCAATTTAAGCTCCCTGTTTTATTTCACAGTGAGGGTGTTTTCTGCCACCCTCTGCTGTTACTAGTATCCTGTAGATTTGTGAATATGATTCTTAGTTGGATGTTTCAGTTTGTGTGATAAAATATTGTTCAACCATCCGATACATCAAATAACCTCCTTGGCAGAGGTAAATCATAAAGCAATTTTATCACAAATCCCATTAACTTTGATGTTGTAGCCTCTAATAAGGGTTCATAATCTGCCGAAACATTCATTTTATTTAACATTATGCTACTGTATTATTAATAATATAATTCATATTTGTAAATCTGCTGTATATTGGCTCTTTATTAAGTGAAGCTGACACAAAAATGTATTCTGTGATGTAAATTGGAGGCTGGTTTCTGCCTATTGTTTACATACAAGCATTTTAGTCTCCACAGACTGAGCCACAGGAAAGCAGTTTGTAGGGTATAGAGATCTCCAGATTAATTTTCTGTTTTGTTCACATGTTTCCAACAAAATGAAGAGCTTCTGAATTCCAAGAATTCCTGCCAGGGGGAAAAAACAAACTGTCTAATAAAGATGAAAAATTAAGAATTCATCTGCAGCGTGCTCGGTGTGCTCGATGTGCACGGCTGCTTTCAGTGTAAGTGGGTCTAATTAAATCCCGCACACTGCTGTACTCCACTAATGACTTCTACACTGGCTACTCGGCTCATATGCTGCATATTAACGCAACACACTCCAACTGCAGTGAGAGGAAAACTGGACGAATGTGACGAATAATTGATTGATTGATCATTAATTGATTGCGTTGCTTCTGCAAGACACGGAACAAATGAGTGAACCTGACTTCCAGCTGACCCACGCATGACAGAAACACCTGCTTCCTCGCGTTTCGAATTTAACATTTCTGCGCTGACATGCAGTGACAGCTTTAACAGCCCGTGCTGGGTCCGTTCCCCAAACACCGCGGGGGCAGAGGAGGCACCGACGGGTTCTTCTCATGATATCCTGCCGCGGGGGGTGGAGGAAGAGGATGAGGAGCAGGAGAAAAGAGAGGAAGGTGGAGGGGTTGTGTTTGTCACCCAGCACGAATGGGTGTGTGCGACAATGTAGACTCCGCTTAATTGGGCAATGTACCTTCATGCCACCATTAATTGGCTAAAATGTGGTGCTCTTTAAATTTCTGACCTGCACTTGCATTGTTGGAAATGCAGCCCAGAGAGAAAAAACACGAAAGCATCCTTTCTGTGATATAGACCTTACAACGTGGCGGCACAGCCCTGAATTCTTCTACAGGCTTATCAATACAACTGTCAGTTTAATCAGGCTGTCGGACTCATTAGGTTTTTTTGGTTTTTTTGTTGTTGTTTTTTAATGAAATGCAGCAGAGGTCAGCAAAGCGTGACCGTCACGGGACATGGCTTCAAAAAAAAGGAAAGCACACACAAAGAGACACACAAAAGAAAAGAAATAAATCAGGGCACATTGCACTATAAAGAAAAAACACATCCTCAGCAGCAGCAAGCAGGATACAGTACCTCAGCTAACAGTGGCAGCCAGAGACAGGCGGTTCCGATCAAGCACAACATTTCCCGGCTGGTGAGAGCCATCCTTCCCGCCCGCTGTGTCTGTGTCATAGCCAGAAAAGCCGCCGCTCCTCTCCCATCTCTGTGTCCAACCTGCCCGTGAGGTGAACCGTTATCCTCCGCTGCTGGAAGAAACGTGGTGTGCGGTGATGATGATGATGATGATGTCGGCTACGTGGTGGCTTTTACGCACAGAAGGCAGGGTGCGGCACTATAAACGGGATGAAACACACAGTGATGCATGCACACACACGCACACACACGCTGAACCAATCTTGGGTGAAATAATGTTGAGCTCTGCAAAAACTTAATGCCACGAGCATGTCGCGCTCACACGCCCGCGCGCGGACACATTTTTTGTCAGGGTGAATTACTTAACTGAATTTAACTTCATTTTATGTCGTTGGTCTCAAGCTGTAGCAGGTTTAAGACTATGCAGAAAATTTTCCTCAAAAACTCTCCAAGTGACCTTTAAAATGTATGAAAATGAATACATTTCTGAGTAAGAGATGTCACTTAGGCATGATTGATGATGGCTTTTTAACATTTTATAGGGGGCAAATGGACACATAAAAATATTAGTAGTGATATGACAACCAGAGACCCTTGTATGTCAAGGAAATTCAGCAACTTGAGTTAAAACTGTCTCAATTTTGAGATGCCACTGAAAAGAAAGCAGACTGACTTATGATGGGGTGGTAAACACATTCGAGGATTACCTGCAAAGCAGAGCCTGGGACGTTCACTAGCAGCTACAAATTGCTTAGATGGGACTTAACTCATTTATTAGTTTTTATTAGGAGCATGGTTCTTCTCAGGTCAGCAGAACAGTGGTGTTTTGCTTCACAGCACTCAGTCAGTAATGTGTTTTAAGCAGCATTTTTAAGCCAGGGACTGCCATCGGTCGAGTAACCCACTGCATTCATGGTGTCACAGCTTCACTCATCTCTCATGAAGATAAAACCTGAACATCAGTGACGTGGAAGCTCATCCAGCTTAATATTGCACATAAATCACAGATTATTGTGATGTGTGAAGTACAGGAAAAAAGGGGTTACCTCCATTGCACAAACTAATGAGAATTCCACTGGAAGGTCCCATCTGCACCGTCTTAATGTTGGAGTCAACCAACAGGACCCTTCCTTATATGATTATGAGAAAAAAGATTCATTTACCAGGATGCAACATGGAACAGGATTAAAGCTATCACATCACTTAGTTCCTCATTTCAGTTCAAGGTCTTTATCAATTTGTGCATTGAGAAGCTTATGTTAATAAATGGTAAAGGCTTTGAATTGAATATTGTTCAGTACATCATGAGAGAGAATGTGGTGAAATTATTAGTGTCCATGAAGATCAGCCCATAAAGCGATACATGTGACCTTGATCTGGGGCACAATTTGGATGAAGACCCATTAGGTGACCACTGTCCGCAAGTTTGATAAAATTCTGATCAATGCTCTAGGAAGAGCAGTGACTCTTGTGAATTTGGACAGATGGAAGACCAATGCCTCCTCATGGCACAAGCTCATCAGTCCTAAGGCCAGATGAGTTAAAAACACAAACTGAGAAACTGACCTTCATGGAACAAACACAGAATCACTTTTTATGATAGAAAATACACAACATTTAAACCACTGTCCATAAGCATTTCTACAAATCCATATTATTTATTGCAGATGCAGACAAGTGTGTGTTTTGCGTTTGTACTTACTGTTTGCTCAGTAGCATTGCGGTGGTTTTTAAAAGTAATTTTCCCAAGTGGAGAAGATCCGTTTATCCAGATATTCCTGGTTGTAATGGCTTTAGCTTACCTTAAAGCTTAGTTTGGATTACATGAATAGACCTTGCTATGTTTGATGTTTTAAATGAGTTTTAAATTACTTCATTACTTCATTAAGTTGCTGTGTCTTTGGCTTAAAAAGATAATAATCTTTTCACTAAATTATATAAAATTTGCAGTTAGAGATCACAGGAGTTTGAGAAAAAACTGGGACCCGAAATTTTTCTGCTTTTAAATATTAAAGGAGTAAAGATTAACACTAAAACATATAATGGAATTAAGCCTTGTGGATAGAAACATTAAGGTTATTTTTGGACTCTAAACACCAGTTTACAACCTGTATTTGGCTGAAAACGACTCAGGAGTTCATAACCATAAATATCTTTAAATATATACAGAATTATGACTTTTTTTGAATCAATAAATGAGCAAAGACATTTAAGCACAACTCAAGTAGTCACTGATTATCTGCTGTGAACTTGGACCAACATGTTAGAGCTCTACCATCATCATGATGCTGAAAACAATGGGAAAATATAAAACGTATTTGCAAAACTGATCCAGTGATTCGGAGAATCTATGAGTGTAAGCACTAAAGCGTTTTTTTCAAAGCTGGTTTTAGACAAAACCCTCACCCAGACACTCATGAGTCATTCATCTATAAATATACAGTTTCAATAAAGAAAGCCACACGAGGCCCTGTCCCTGTTTGTGCATGAAAGGTGCTCTTCTTCAATTATTTAAACTGCTGTTGGAAAAAACGTTTTTCTACTATTTCCTTTTTATTGCTGCAGGTTTGTAAGAGGAAACATCCAAAACAGAAACTGGCTGCAAAATAAATTCAGCACAGCAGCAGGTTTTGGCTGACGGTGGCAAAAAGTGTTCCAAAAAAAAATACACGTTTTGATTTGTTGTCGGTAAAATTGTCTGAGTGTGTTGCTTCAGAATGCTGCATTTGAAGCTGATCCAGGAAGAAGCATTTCACATCAGAAGGGATAAAACAGAGCGAGCTGCCAGGCCGGTTTGTCTTCCCTCAGCAGTTGGACTGCACCGCACTGCTGGGCAGAAGTGATCTGCTCAGCTTTTTCCAGTTTGTGAGCCTTAAACTTATCAGATACACAGAAATGCAGTCACAACAAGGCTCGGCTTAAAGAAGAGCTGAAACTTGCTTCTATAAGGACTCTCATGCTAGATTTGACCAATCTTTAGGCTTTGAGAAAAGGGAAATCTAAATGATCAAATGATATCAGGGACAAAGCACATGTGCCAGATCTGTTCTGTAAACCTGATTTTATCTACAACAGCAGTAAGGGTAGGTGGTCTGTGAAGCATGCATGACTTCAACTCTGTGGGTAGAACACATCAAGTGCCGTAACAAAATATTCTGCAATAAAATGTTATGATGCAAAATACTGATTGTGTTTATCGTGTCTACAATCTCACTTTTGCATGTAAACAAGTAGGCTTGATGGGGATATCATCAGTGAAAGTATTTGGTTATAAAGCAGTGTTTAAAATGTAGCCCGATGATCGCTCTGTTGTACTGTACTACATCACAGAAATGCAAAACGTACCTGGATGTTGGAAGGCTTTTAGCTTAAGCTTGCAGTGTGCACCTGACCTGTTAGCTGGTGTGGAAGGAGATCAGATCAAGTTCTCACCATAAACAAAAAACAACTGAGACGATATGGAAAAGTAAAAAGGCAGTGCTCAAGTCCCTTAAAACTGTTTTCTTTTTAATTGCCAGCAGGGGGCGATTAGTTTTTTAGAAAAGCAGTATAGAGGTCCATAGAAAAAACATCCTCCCTTCCTTTTTATGAATAATCTTATCAATTGTTACCGCAATAACACTATGGTCTAAAATTCTAGGTTCACATGTACTGTACTGAATACAACATGGTGCTAGTTTTCTAAATCATGGTCCCACAGGTCGCTACATCCATCTTTCTTGTACAGCTTATGTGGTAGCGCTGCAGACCTCAACAAAATTTCTTGGCCATCTATCTGTTATTTTGATGGGATATTATTCATTGACTCATCGTTTCAGCTCTAAACTGAAGGCTTTTTCTCAAACCAACATTTAGCGTCTGGCCTCACACACACCATCCATCATTGCTCCAGTCTGCTACGTCAGCGCTGCGCATTGATGCAACATCAGCCCTGTCGCTTTTCATCTGCAAACACCAGAAAACATCTGAACAGGAGACAGCTGCCAGTCATTATTCAACCTTTCTTCTCATCCTCAGACTCTACAGCTTCTCTTGGATCTTGATTCAAAAGCAGGGCAAAACTGAACCCAAGCCATAAGATGTCTCTTTTTCATAAAATTTCAGCACCAAATCAGGCACTTGGGCAATTTTCTATCCCTGTGCCTCTGTGATCCCCCTGAAGCTGTGGGAAAGAGATTAGCTAAATTCATCTACTTCATAGAGTTTTGTTTTACCCACGAGCCCCGGGCTGGGAGATTACTTATGAAATTAACTTTTTTTTTCTTTAAAGTTTAGTGTTCCCAGTCAACGATTGCTTTGATGTTGCTGTTCAGTGATAACACTTTGCTATCTTTCAGCCAAATCCAATTTCTCTTATCGTAATCGTCATCTGTCTCTCCCCATGTTATCTCTCCTTCTCTTTCCCCCCTCATTTCTCTCACTTATCATTTTCTGTTTATTGCATCCTGTCCGTGTAAACAACATGGAGGAACCAGTGTAATATAAAAGTAATATCTTCTTTAAACACACGCGTGGATGGCTTCTGCCACCGTCTTTGTCTCCCCATATGCGATCCTGCATGAGAGTTGGCATCATGCTGATTTTTTTTTTTTTTTTTGCAAACGCCTGGTTGTCACGGCAACACTCCTCTCAGCACCAGTATATCTCCCCATCCTTGGCTGTTTGTGCATGTGTCCAGAACAAAAGGCAAGAAGAAAGAGGAAGCGGAAAAGAAAATAAGAAATCACAACAAATTAAAATCGCCGCAGGCTCTCTGCTCTCTCTGCCTGTCAGGGAGGATTTCTGCTGAAAGACAGAGCTTTGAAGATTACCTTAAAACAAGCACGCACGCACACACACACACATGCACACATGCACACAGTCAACATACAGTATGTACTATATGTGTGTTTTTGTGTTGAGGTTCTTCCCCACAAGCACTTCCTCAAATCCCATTACACCCCCCGCTCCCAAACACTGAAAGGATCCAATCCCCACAGCCAAGACAGTTGGTATGGAAACGGATCAGTAAAGCTCCAAATCTCTCTTTTAACGACTCATTACTGTTTGCTGTCGCCCATTAATGTCACTACTTCCACGCTGTGGCAGCAAGAAACATCATTACTAACCCAGATCGCTGCAGGGATGAGGAGGAATATGTGAATTGGGTGGTGAGCACAGTGGCAATCATCTTGTTTGCCTTCACTCTTAACTGTAATATTTCATTCCCCCCCTCAACCCCATTAGTTTATCTGGCTTTCGTTTATTTGCAGGGCTATTATTGTGCTGCTTCACTTTACTGAAACACAGAAAACATGAGTGGAAATCTAGTCTGAGATGCTCTTCTAATCATTTTCTACCGGGGAGATAAGACAACAGGCCAGGCTGAACGAGCGCATGGGGTCCCATTCTGCTGTTCTGATATTTCACACCCCATAAAATCTAAAAGGCAGAACGGCATCAACATAAAAGTAAAAAAAAACATGGGTGTAAGTGCAGATAGGAGAAACACAAGCCGTGTTGATTTTGCAGAAAGGAGATCACAGCTTTTGTATCACTCTGAGCATCCAAAGCCCCGTGGAGAGCCCCTGCTCTGCCGTTGCTCTCATCTCGCTGACAGCCACAGAACAGAGACGCAGAAATCAGGAGGATGGTGGAGGCTGGATGGGGAGAGAGGTAACATGCTGAGGGTGGAGCGCAAAAAAGCGAGAGCACGTTGAAGATGAAAGGGCTGGAGCTAAGAGGCCTTAAAGGAAAAAGCTTATGATGTTACTGCAACTAATCTTCAACCTGCATGAGTAATCTTACCTGGGGTTGAGGAGGCACTGAGACGTGTGACTTCAGCTATGACGGCTAGCACCAGCAGTGAGCGCTCCGGCTTCACGACTGCTCACACAGTCTTGGAATAAAACTTCCTCTGACTCAGCTTCCTGGCTAAAATGACACGTAGTAATTAGGATGTTTACTCATGGATAGTATTGTGCAGATGGCTGATGAATGAATTGCACTGTCAACATGAGAGTTTTATTGGAATGTTTCTCAGTTACACCCATGTGCTAATTACCCTTAGCATTGACAGCCTAACATCTCACTCACAATCTTTGCCTCAACAGAAGCAGATGCTGCAACTGACTGAATCGTCTGTTGCACCACATCCCAAAGGTGCTCCACTGGATTCAGCACTGTGGACTGTGGAGGCCATCTGAGTACAGTGGACTCACTGACATGTTCAAAAAACAATTCTGAGATCATCTGAGCTTTGTGATATTTGATATCCTGCTAAAAGCATGAAGATGGATACATTGTGATCATAAAGGGATGGACATGGGCAGCAACAACACTCAGACTGCCTGTGGCGTTTAAAGGGTATTAAAGGCTCCAAAGTGTTCAAAGAAAATATCCCCCGCACCATTATAAATCAGCAAAAGGCTGAACAATTTATACAAGCAATGATGGATCCTTGTGCTTCTTCTGACACCACCTTCCAAATGTTGCAGGAGAAACTGAGACGCATCAGACCAACATTTTTCCAATCTTCTGTTGTCTAATTTTGATGATCCTGTGGAAAATGTAGCCTCAGTTTCCATTTCTTAGCTGAGTGGCATGCAGTGCTGCTGTAATAGCCCATCTGCTTTAAGGTTTGACTTGTTGTACTTGGGTTGTAATGATTTACTTTTGCTTTCCTATTAGCTCTAATTAGCAGCTTAGCCATTCTCCTCTGACCTTTGACATTAACAAGGCATTTTTGCTCACTGCTGCTCACTGGATATTTTTTGTCTTTTTTAGATCACTTTCTGTAAAGCCTGGAGATGGTAGTGTCAGAAAAAATCCCAGCAGATTAACAAAAAAAATCCTGACAAAGTGACCTGTGGGTGTATGTATAGATATAATACTATAATACGATATAATCCATATATTGTTCCTTGTACAGTGACCAAGGGTCCCCTCACCGACACAGAAATACAGAACCCAGGTTTGTTTGGTTATATCTAAGTTCAAAGAGCTTTGTATAGAGGAAACTGCAGAGCAAATCTCTGGTTTACTGTTAGCTGTTTCTGTCACGCAAATTGGATCTTATTTAATGTAAACTAGACACTAAAAACATAAAAGGTTTATCATATCTGTTCCTACTGCTATGTACTTTGGTTTGGAGCTATTTTCATGATTACATAATAAGTGTCTACATATTTTATTTGTCTGTGCTTATACTTTTGGGCTTAAGGTGTATTTCTGATTTTTTTAACTACATTATAATATATTGTGTAGCTGTCTGCTGTTATTGGCTTGTTACAACATATGCAATGTGCATAATATTGCTATACAGCCATAACAAATAATCCATCTGAGGTCTCAAAGTCATTCAGTGTATACTGTTGTTTCATCTGTTTTATGCACAATAGTAGAAACAGTGATTAAACAGATGAAAGATTCACATTATTTTACTAAATAAAGGGAACTCCTGTTTGGATAGGAGGATATACAAGGTGAAGGGGCTGAAGCTGTACTCATCATCATCATCTCACATCAAACTATTATTTATAACAAGCTGGCTGGATGGTTCCCAAAAGAAATCACGGAGAGTGTTTCATCCTCTGCATCCAATAACAAAACTGATTTTTGACTTCAGCGCTGATCAAATGCTTGTTTTTGTGTACACTGTGGATCAGCTCTTTGTGGTGTGTTCATTTATTAGAGCTTGGTTAGTTCGTTTGATGTTTTCAAATAAACAATTTCTTACAAATCAGTGTGCATGTATCGTCTTTGTCTGGTTTAAATTAGGACTTTCATATCTGGTTTATGTCATGTTTGTCAAGCAAATTATGAAACTACACTGCCACCATCTGATGGTAAGAAACAGGACACTCAGTGAGATGTAGAGTAAAAAGCCGGATGCTTTTATTTGAAATGAACAGTTTAAAAACGTACATTTACTCACAGTGATCTTATGTTTTATGATAGTTAGGCTTAAGACTAATTTATTTCGTTTTCTGCGGTTTTACAGGAAAGTTTTTGTTTGTTTGTTTGTTTGTTGACAGTTGTAAATTGGGATTTTCTATAACAGACATAATCAGCTTATTAAATATGAGGAATTGAAGAAATGGTGAGGATAAACACTCCTACACTTGGTGGAGCTTAAATGTTAAATACTGCATATTTGTCCTCATTATCAAGGTTTTTTTAAATATCACTGACTAACAGAAATGGATTTTTAATTGCAGCACTTTCACTTGTAATGGATTAGTTTTATGTGATATTTTTTACTAAATTTAAATTGATGAAGTAGATTATTTAGAGTCACTATAATGGAATAAGATATTTAAAATTAACTAAAGAAGACATTTAAAAAACCACCAAAATAAATTATAATAATAAAAGTCTCTGGGAAGACAATGTCACTCTTATATTTTTGTAGGAACTATTTATTGGATAAAATCTATAAATTAATTTAAATGAAACTTCTTTCACTTTGTTAGTAATGAAATATTTTTGTGTCAAAAAAAATCATCCATTAAATAAATAGATAATAATAACCTCCGACTTAAAAGAAGATCCGTTTTTTAATTAATTAAACAAATGTAACAAGTATAACAAATATGGCAACATTTTCAAAGACTTTTTCCAACTTGAGAAAATACCAATACAGGCTGTATTTCAATATATAAAAGACTGTCCCTATGTGTTAGCCCTGCGACAGACTGGCGACCTGTCCAGGGTGTACCCCGCCTTTCGCCCTATGACAGCTGGGATAGGCTCCAGCGCCCCCCGCGACCCTGAAAAGGATCAGCGGAAGCGGATGGATGGATAAAAAAAAATTCTAAGAACCGTTTTTCAACCACTTCAGTTAAACCACAATGGTACGGTCGGTTCTGGTTGCTATGGAAACGTGTAGCTGTTGGGCAAAACAGCGCAGGCGCAGAAGCAGATTTATTCTTTAAAAGCATGCAAACCCCTGATCCAAATACATTAACGTATTTGTCAGTATAATCATCGCGACTGATAGCTAAATTGAAATGTAAACAAAATTCTAGAAGAAAAGCATACCATTTGAATCGAATAACTGGTTAACTAAAATAATATTGTTCCTAAACCAACTATCTAAAAAGTTAGATTTTCTGCTGTTCATTGATGACCGCAGATTAGCCTACGGTATTTCTGCGGTTCTACCTTCGTGCTGTCATGGTTCTGCAGCGCCCCCGTGTGGTGGCTATTAATCTTTGGCGGACCAAACTCGGAGGAGCAGGTGTGGCGACCTGATGCCGGAAATCACGGGTGCTAATCTTCACAATAAAACCACAATTTTGTTTTACCTTTGTTAACCAGACATTACTACACCAATGACGTTTAAATATAGTGGAATCATTTTTTCTCAAATTAGTTAACATCCAGTCCGCACACGTTCCTGTTGCTTTTTCATCTGTTATTCACAGATTCCACAATAACACGATTTAGTTTTTGAACCCAAATTAATATGTTTCTGCTAAAGTGCCCAGCTTTTTAATTAGTGTACTTTAAGTTTTACTTTGTATCTTTAGTTCTCTTGCTGTTTATCTGTTTCTTTCTTTCTTCCTTTAACATATTTGTATTTTTAAATCTTTATGCGCTGTCGTCTTCTTTTTCTGGTGTCGTGGTGCAACCCTTATTCTGAAAAACCAAACCGGAAAGCGTTCCCGCGCGCAGACGATTTCACGAGCGGTGAGCTGGAAGTAAGACTGTCCTATGATGAGCGCGCACCGGTGCCGGCTGTGGGGGGGAGAGGACGCTGACTGAACCGGTTATCTTGGTATATCAAAGTCCTTTTTCAAAGTGTTTCATGTTTTTAATGTAGATAAATCTTTAAAGAGTTTGACTGATTAAATAAATTAAAATAAAATCCCGAGGATGCTTACAGACATGATTGTGGAGGAAGAATTTGAGATAAAGGAGGAGGAACCGTGGTACGACAAGCAAGACCTTGAACATGGTACAGTTTCCTTTCAGTCTTTGTGTCTCTGTGCTTAAAGATAAAGATTCGCACTTAGTCTTTATTTACCCTGCAGGCAGAGAATTACAGGGCTGTTACAGCTGATAATGATGCGCGGTGTTTAATATATGAATGGCATTATAAGTAATTTTAAAAATATGCACGGGCAATATTTGCATCAATTTCTGTGGGTTTTAAGTCGGGGTGGTTTTAGTCTGAAGTCTGATTTAGTGGAAATTTTGCGAGTCCTGGGGTGCCAGAGAATCCAGGAGTCAGCAGCACACTCACATATGCGGCAAAAACAGAACCGCTCTGCCTGAATGTGCCTCTGACTTTATTCATCCTTTCTGCCTGCATGGGCTGCTTTTACGCTAGTGGCCGTGGGTTTGTGTTCCTGTGTGTGCAAAAATCACCTTCAGATTTTATCATGTTTTTGTCCATGTAGAGTGAAAAAGAGCTTCGCCTGTAAATGTAAAAGTGCATGCCTTTATTCCTTTCCTTAATTGAGTTTCTAAAGAGACACTTTGTGTTACTGGATTGCTGCCAACACCAACAGCACCTCTGAAAGCTGCTTGTCAGGTCTCCTTCACCATTAGTACAGAGCCATGAATGCTGAAGGACTTGCAGTTTCACCTCTCTTCGTGTCTCCTGCAGACCTGCAGCTGGCAGCCGAGCTGGGGAAGACCCTTCTGGAGAGGAACAGGGAGCTGGAGCAGGGGCTCAAGCAGATGTACTCCAACAACCAGGAACAACTGCAGGAGATCGAGGTAAATACCTCCCTTCTCTCACAAAGTATAGTCCTAAACAGAGCTCTCATTAGGCCAGGCTGTGCTGAAAACATCAAGAGATGAACCCGCTTCTCTCACACAGCACTGATTTCCTCTTTAATGCTTTCAGGGTGTTACTAAATGTTAACACGAAACATTTTGCTGTACACAGCCATTTCTTCTTCTGGGGATGGACAGTCATGTGTCCCTTTACCTTCAAACTCCCGGAAGGCTGTGGTCCAAAACAGTAGAAGCTCAGAGTCAAAACCTTTTCCAAGAGACTTCTGACTTCCTGCTAAATTTAAGTAAATAGGCTCAGCCCGGGGGGGGGCTCTAAATCCATCCCTGCATTAAACTGCTGACATACACAATTAATCTCTTAAGACCTGCAGCAGACACACGTGACTTCAATGTTGACCAGTGCTAGGATCGATTTGCTGATTTACGCTCGCTCTTTGCTGGATTGAAAAGCGATTAATAAAAAGAAGCACCATGAACACCTCATTTAAAATGTACAGCTTGCCTTGTTGACTTTGGACTGTTTATGTTAGCGTGTCCGGGCAGAGTGAAGTTACTTATCAGCTGGGCTTTTTTCTTTCTTTTGATTTTACGCCAACTGATTACATGATGTAAGTTTCCTGGCTGTGACGCCCTGTTAGATAATACGTCCTCAATTAATCTGGGACTTAAGGGAGGCATTTAGGTGTTACTGGGAAATAAAATTGTCAAGCTGTTAACCTGCCAGAAAAATGCTCAAATAGCAGCATGTGGATAATAATAGTAGGTTTATGTTTACACTGTCTTACTGTTGGTCCTCACATCAAACATGACGTTTAAATATTGAGTATCTGCTCAAAATGCTTATTTAAGAATTTGTTTTTTTTTGTAAATCTACTCTCGACTCTGTTCGAGTCAGTGAGAGAAGATTCCTTAAAGGTGCAGAAGCTTCACCTACAAGCTGTTCAAACCTTTTGTTTGTGAGGGGCAGCCAATCAGATGAAAGTGGGCTTACAATGAGGGGAGCTTGGAAAAGAAATTCAAGCTAGGCTTTAAAGGGAGAGGAGCTAAAATATGTCAGCTGGATAATGAATTATTTTAAACACTGAATCATGCAAAGCTACTGTAGAAGATGGCGAACATAAAAAGATGAGTTATCAGCGATTTTTGTAATGATTTAATCATTAAAAATAGCTGCTCATTTGACCTGCTAATGACTGATAGTGTAATTGTTAACAATAATAGATGTGTTTCTCCTTTTAAGCTCTTATCGCCTTTTTCTTTCGCCTCCAGTACTTGACCAAGCAGGTGGACCTCCTCAGACAGGTTAACGACCAGCACGCAAAAGTGTACGAGCAGCTCGACCTGTCGGCCCGAGAGCTGGAGCAGAGCAACCACAAACTTGTTCTGGACAACCGGGCAGCCCAGCAGAAGATCCAAGGGTGAGACATTTATCACCAGTTTCTTATTAAAACCTTTTTTTTCTTTGTTTTTGTTTTTTTACTAACTTTGTTTTCACTGGTTTTTATTTTTTTCTGTGCAGGCTTACAGAAACAGTGGAGCTACTGCAGATGCAGGTGGAGGAGCTGCAGCATCAGGTGGAGGAGCTGAAGCTGAGTCCCTTTCCACCTCAGAAACCTTCACACAGAGAGAGCTGGCCTCGCAGCACTCGCAGCGTGTCCTGCCTGCAGGAGCTGCAAAACACACTCAGGTGGGTAACGCGCAAACACAAATTATCACAGACCAGTGGAGCTTAAATAAGGAGTCGAGAGAGCTGACTTGAGACGGGCAGATCTGAAGCTTGCATGTGTTTATATCATCATGAATGGTTCTGGGAACCATTTATGATGATGTCGTTTTCCATCTTCCCTGCCTAATGTTACACGCTCACAGTAAAAGGGGCCAAAACCTCCAATTATGAGGTAAATGTAAGTAAAAGTAAACACTGTGGGACAAAATTGACCACTGATATAACGATATCTCTGCACTGATTTCATTACACGGTCATCTGCTGCAGGCACAACATGCTCCATGATGACTGTATGAACATATTCTCTGAAAAACATCTGCAGGAAGTCGTATTCAGGCACTCGATCTACTCAGGGGTACAACAGTGCAGGGAGATACTGTAGTCCTCAGTTCAGCTGATATTTTAGTTCATTTTCCACAGATACACCTTGCATAATTATTATCTGAGCCTGAAAAATGTGCTGTCAGTCCTGTTCTTGCAGGTGGACATCCTAAACCTGCTAATAATGGATAAACACCTGTAGTTTCAAACTCTATAACAGGTGAAATTTTATATATTCTGGAGACTGTGGACGGTAATTTGTCAGCTCGTTGCTGTGTTTTTGTATTTTACTCTGGTAAAATCGCCTTAATTGCTCTTTGTAGGTCTCAGGAGGAGATCTAAGCTGATCCTCTCAGCTTTAGCTTTAACCTATCTGCACTGATCCTGCTCTTCCTGGCAGCGGCTCGTTTCTACCTCGCAGAGGCCTGCGTGCTTCCGTCACTTGTTCTTGATCTGTAGTGTGACGCGTTCATTCACAGCCTCAGTTTAGTCTCTGTGGTGTGTAATCCTGTTTGCAGGGCTTCTTCACAACATGCAGGAAGTCTCAGTGATAAAGTCAGAGAGCGGCGCGGTGGTTGAGGTTGGAAGAAAGGAGGTCAAAGTCTCGAGCTGAGAGAACAACTGTGTCTCAATATCTGTCTGAAGTTAATGAACTCTCGCACAGGCTGCCCGGTGCTACAATAAGCCCTTGATTCCTTGCTTAGTGTGCTTTCTTTTCACCGGTCGTTACTTATTTATTGTTTTCAGCTCTTCTTTATCTTGGATATATATAAATTTTCACCCACACATCAAGACAAACGGATGAAGCTGCAGATTTGGTTTAAATTGTCAAAACGCTTAAACGGTCACAAAAAACATAAGATTTAAATGCCAGATTGAACAGCCTGGCTGCTGACCTTTGACCCTTCTCCCGATTGCATTTATTGCCACCTTTTAAGTTGTTAAGTAACATTTATAAATAAGTGATAATGGATAAGATTAGCTGAGGAAATAATCTCCATTAGAGATTCTTTCGCCGGGTTCCTGTGGAGCTTTTAGCCATATCACATGGTCTCTATCAGCCAACAGGGTGCTCTCCTGGGAGTCACTGCTTTGGTCAGGACTGTAGCCAACCATCTGCTGGCTGTAGCTTCATATTTAGTATCCAGACATCAGTTCTTTTATTTAAATACTGTATATGGAAATCGGGGTCTAAAATGCACCTGTTTGTGCAGGTACGACTACGATCCCGACAAACCCTTAAAGGATATCGAGCCGTCTACCACATCATGGCAGGAAGAGGAGCAGGACTCGCTGCGACAGTCCCTCCATGCTCTTCAGACACAGTTTGCCACTGAGCGTGCTCGGAGGGAAGAAGCAGAGCGAGAGGCTGAGCTGCTCGCCAGAGAAAATGCAGAGCTGGAGCAGCAGCTGGCCGGGATGGCAGGATGTCAGGTAAGACTGACACCAGTATCTCTCTGTCCTTAAATTTGTTTCCGACTTGCATCCATCCACTTTTTTGATCACTAATCCAATTTAAGGTCACGGGTGGCAGGTAGCACCCTGGACAGGTCGCCAGTCTAACAGTTTGTCCAACTGTCTATCTTCATCAGGCCCGACTGTCTGAGCTGGAGCGCGAGGCGGAGGAGCTTCGTCAGCTCTGGAAATCAGAATCCTCTACAAGATGCAACAGGCCAGACGTCCTCCACGGCCTGCTGCCACACACAGTGTTCCTCAACCCAGAGGAGGAGAATGACGGAGAGGCATCTTTGGCTAAAAGCCCCGCGGTCCTGAAGCGCTGGAGAAGTGAGCGGCTGATGAAGGCGACGCAGATGCCAGACTCTCCTGACAGGGTCTATGACCACGAGTGCTCCTGCGTGCGCCGGGCCGAGGTAGTGAAATATCGCGGGATCTCGCTGCTCAACGAGGTTGACGCCCAGTACAGCGCCTTGCAGGTGAAGTACGACGAGCTGCTTCGGCGCTGCCACTCTGAGGAAGACGAGCAGGACAAACTGAGCCACAAGTCAGTGCAGACTGCATCCTTCATCGCCACCATATTCCCTCCTCTGACAGACAGGGAGGGCTTTGAGGATGACGTTCACCAGCCGGAGTACAAGAAACTCTTCAGGGAAATTTTCTCCCGCATCCAGAAAACCAAAGAAGACCTGATTGAAAGCCGGGGGAAACACTCAGCTGGGAAAGCTCTGCCTAATTAAACACTTGTAAAAAGTTAAAAGGGGGGGAAACAAGAACAAAATAACCGTCTAATAACCGTCTTCCTGTTTTGGAACAGCTCTTCGAAAGACTTTTATCTACCCAGAAACTGTGATCACCGCACAAACAGCTTTACAGATAAGGGCAACACAGGAACACAAAGGCTAACACCACCAGCTCACGTCGCAGATGTGGCTCGTTTTGCACAGAAACACCAGTGCCTGACGCCACCGTCTCTACTGTGCAATCGCTTTACCTCAATTTGCGAAAACGTGTTCACAAACAACCTCCTGGGGGAAATTTTCTGGGGGAAATTTGTCTTCCTTTAAGCCAACTAGTTTGAGTCACACAGTTTCCTTTTAGAGAAGAAGCATTCTAAAGTAAAATCATCAAGTTCCCAGTAAAGATGCAAAATTCTAGAAAATATAGAAAGTGTACGTCTTCCTTAGAGTAAATACTTCCTGGAAATCAAACCGCATCAAAGCTTGAACTTAGGCTCTGTGACATTTGTTCTAGACTAAGGTAACACCCAACAAGTAGTCTGAAACATTAAGTGTTTTAATTTTACTGTCGGAGAAGACAAATATCCCAAAAAAGTACACATTCAAGAAGCTAGAGCTGGGACTTTTAGCTTCTTTATTGAAAAAACAGCAGTGGTCCACTGTTTTCTGATTCTGCTCCGTTTATGGTTACAACCAGCCGCTGATGGAAATCTCCGCCCTTTAGCCTATCGGCGCTCCACCAGCTTCTTGTTAACGGTGCGTCTCAGAGGTGCTGAGCAGGTATTGTGCTGAGACCAGAAAGGGAACAAAAGCAATAAAAGTTGTTGGCCAGGCAGCTAAACAATGACTGCGTCTCGTCTCAACTCTTTGGATCACATGATCACAATCGCTTTTATATATTAACTCCAAATGGCGTTGCTCTTTCTGGGAAATTTCCAACATCATTATTAGGAAATTATGGACCTGTGAAACAGAAGACCATGTCTGTTTTGGGATTTTTTTGTTTGTTTGTTTGTTTGTTTTTAACAGAGCTCATGTGAGCTGATATACTTTATAATCTATGGTTTTCTTCTCCGCTGTAGCAAAAAAGTGAATTTCTCGATGGTAGTTTTCCTGCACTTGTTAGAGTCACCATTGCAATGTTGACTAAGTCTGGGTATACAATGAATGACGTATTTGTGATGGAGTTCAGAGGTGATTTTAGGTGCTCTAATATATTAGATAATATATTGTAACTGATGCATTATCCTCCTGAATTTATACTTGATTGTCTCGTGGTAGTTTAGATGGCTGTAAGCGAATGTTATAATAAAGTTTACCAAAATATTAACTGTGTACTTGATAATATAACCTGTAACGGTGTCTTGAAGCTTTTTCTTAGCAGCACTTCTGTTGCTTCTGCTGCCCGATGTTCACGAGTCCTTGTTCAGCTTAACTGTGCACTGCTGTGTCTGTAGATGTCTGTAAAATCTCAATGAGATGCACTTTAGAATTGCACAGGCGTTTTCGATGCTCTTCTGACACTTTGCGTGTGTGTTGTAAATGTAGCTAGCTAATGCTACATGTGGTGTGCTACTGTCTCCTTCAGAGACCTGAATAATCTGCTGTGTTTTTTGCTGTTTCATGGTTAATGTTACTTCTCTGAGCCATTAAAACATGAAGCAAGCTGAGATGGAGGCGTGTGTGTGTGTGTTTACCATGTTTACATCTTTGTGGGGTCCAAAAATTTGAAGTTTACTGTACTTGTGGGGACCAACAGTCGTTATGAGGACAAAATCACCATCCAGACATGTCTGAAGGCATTTTTGAGACTCAAAATGAGGTTTTAGTGTCAGAGTTAGGGTTAGGCATTCATTTTTGGTGGTTAGGGTAAGCGGCTAGGCAAAGCATTGTCAATTAGATGTCCCCACAAGGGTATGAAAACACAACTGTGGTTGTGTGTTTTTGCTCTAAAATACAATTAAATCTTATCTATCGAGAAAACAATCAGATAAAAGCTTTGAAGGCAGCCAAACAAACACAGGGCTAAGGCCCAGCCCAGTCTAAAAATAAAACAAGAGTCATTACAAATTCAAATTAGATAACTGCCCCGAGCTTTGTGGGAAAATAATGGTGCTGTAGCAAGAAAAAAATCAGAAGTTATATAAAAACAAACAGTTTATGGGTTACATAAACATGTTTAACCAGCAGCACAGTACCAGAGACACAGTGGGATTTTTCTAAATGCTTAATTTTAATAACCGACCATCCAAGAAGTCTGTGCTTAGGTTGAAGGTGCAGGTGTGCTTTAGTGGCGGGATCAGGAAGGACATCATGTCTTTGTTTGTTTTGCATAAGCAGAGAAACTATGGAAGTTTTATTATGGTGAAATAGTCTGAACGTTTTGGCATTAATTGTGTAAATGTTTATTAGTTTTTAATTTTTAAAAGGGAATCTTCTTTGCGTACAAAGTAATTCACATTAACTACTAACTTGTACCCCAGCCTTCATCATGGCTCTGGTAAAATCATGTTAAGAGACTAGTCAGGTGAAATTCATCCCCTGGGAAGCAGGACCGTACCAGGCTGAACTGACTTAAGATGGCGTGCCAATCCCTGCATCCCCCTTCACCCCCACACCTTACACTGCAAGGTTAGCCACAAATAGTTCTTGTCCTGGTGCTTGCTTCTTCCTCCCCACTATCACCATAGCCTTATCCACAGGAGATGAGCTGATCTTTTGGGTTATCTGTCCAATAGTGTAGATTATTGCAGAATTCAGATCAAATTGGGGCCCAAACTTGTGACTAACTTTATGCAAAGCCTCCAAGATGGCAGCACAAGCACTACAGTAAAGTAACTCCTCCATCACTTCTGGATCTGAAGACTACATTACTATAAACATTCTGATCAGATGGCTAAACTGAAACAATAAAAATGCAGTTTAACAGCTGTCCAACTGCTCCTGTAGCACACACACCACCCTCTCCTCCGGTCCCGGCAAAGTCTTTAGCAGGGAAGACATGATTAGATGATGGGGTCAGGTGTGGTCAGCCTCCTCTGACACCACTACCCTCTCCTGCAGCTCAGCCACAAACCACAGCCACGTTGGAAGAGAAAAAGAATGCATTTGATTTTTCACTCTTTTTACAGGAAACAGAGGGCTGCACTCAGGACAGTGAAAATGAGGGACAGGCAGAGGGACAGCAGATGTTTCCATATAATGTGGCAGAATTTAAAGAAATCCTTCATTCCAGATGTTGGTTAGGATATTGTTTTGATGCAGATTTGCAATTTGTATGTTTGTTTTTGTTGAATCACTGGGACTTTAAGATTTACATTTAATCATTATATTTTTTGACAATGATGCAGTGTGAGAAATTGTTCAAGGCTGACATGTTTTCTGATTCCTCACATCTCCATCTTGTCTACTTAGCCCTCTTTTTTCTGGAGGAAGATGAAGCTCTTGAAGAAGCAATTCAGCATAGCCTCCTAGAAGAGTCTGATAGACCGAGTGCAGTTCATGATTCAAGGTAAGATTTGAAAGCAACCTTTGATCATTGGATATCTTATTTGCATCTTAACTTAACTCAGAGGGCAACTGGTCTGCAAAGCTGGAACTGGAGTGAGGGAAAGAGGAGTCATCATCCAGATCAGACTGCCATTAGCAGTCCAGACACCAGTGAAGATGAAGAGGACGACACTACTTGGGTGTTTTTTCATTTTCTTGTTTACTCTGAAAACTAGACTGTTACTCTAGAATTGCATATAAATGGTTTATGCACCATTTAAACAATTGTCATATATTTATGTTACTACTTATAACCACATATGAAACGTTGTACTTGATTCCATATATTTCCCACGCTGTACATGTTTGTCTTTAAAATAATGCCACATGCTGTTTGTTTGATGTACTAGAAAAATGAAGGACAATAAATTAATATTGAGTACAGTGCTGTCTCTAACTTATATAAGTTAGAGATGTAAGAAATAGAGATATCAGAAATATCTCTAACTTATAAGGGAAATATAAGGGAATTTACAAAATGTCTTACTTGCAGGAATCCAAAGAAGTATTTTTGTGATAAACAAGTGTTTTAATTTGCACCAAAATAAAATTTAACTGAAGCATAAAAAGGGCATGTCTTTTTCGTCGTGCGTTTGCTTTTTTCTGCCTGCAAAGTCTGTAACATCTGGAGAAATTAATTTCTTTAAAACACTTGTCTTGTGATATCTTGTGTAATTTTCACTTATGTCCGCTAGGGGGAGCGCGTTAGCCACAGTTGGGCAATTTAAATTGCAGTAAGGTATTTTTTTCTTGTGTAATCACGTTTTATTTTTATACCCCAGTGTTAAAAAAGGTGGTTATAATGGGTTTCAATTGGTCAAAAACGGCCACGCTAGAGGCAAGAGGAACAATTTGGTGTATAGTGTATATTATTGACATTATTAAGGAGCTGATGTTGAAAATTAAAAAAAATCTGAAAAAAATATACGCCTTTGGGAAGTTTCATTCCATTTGCATTAAGAGAAAAAAGATAAGTGAAGTGGGCACAAATGGCCACCATAGCGCCCAGAGGGTTAATGATATATAGCACTTTAAAATAGCCAGCACAGGACCAAAGTGCTGCACAGTAAATAAGTTAAAAACAATAGAGTATACAAAACAGCAAAAATAAAATATATTTATATATTTATGCTGGGATTTGTTGACACCATGACATCATTGCATTCAGTTTTTATTCACAATTTGTTTAGTGTCCCAACTTTTTTGGAATCCGGTTTGTATATTTTATTTTATTTTT